AAGCTCAGCTCTCAGGCGACATCGAAGGAGAGTATTAAAGGGAGTTTATCAATGTTAAATAGTGAACAGCAAGCAGAAATTGACGCAAATGTTAATGGATGTGCGATTCGAAAGAAAAATAATGTAGAAAATAATGCGATCATAATAGATCCAAATGTAGCGTTGATTGACGGCGAGAGACTGGCGTTAAGTAGAGAGACTGATGTTACCGATGGTAATAATATGGAAAATTCTATTAATTTAAGAGCACACAATGAAACAGAGTCTATTGGTTCTTCTATTCAAATCAGCTCTGTTTAATGACGATAAAAAGTCTATAAAAAATGTTACATAAAAATAATAGTAATGGGTTGAAGTTATTAAGCAAATAAGCCATTTTCTTCCATCTAACAAAATCTTATTAAATCCATATATAATGTATACACGTTGCCTTTTCCTAGAATTATTTAAGATCACAAGCACTATTTTCTCAACAATGTATATTGCCACTACATTGTGCGATACTTATAAGGATCGTATATTTTTTTGACATGTAGCAATTTTAGTCAGTTCTTTATTCTATTGATCTCCATGATAAACATAAAAATGGGAGAGGGAACAATATGAACTAAAGGTATATAGTTGTTTCGTTAAGTGTTTTATGCATATTGGTATATATTGACTAATTTTTGTAACGAAATCTATAATTTATTTCATATATTTTATAAGTATACGTCGTCATACATTGTAATACCTTTTTATCCAGATACAGTTATCGAACTTTACTTCTAGAGATTATAGATTATAATTCGGGAAAATAAGTATTATCATAATGCAATACTAATGGATATATATATATATTTGTGTTTAACCCAGATGTGTGCCTTCATGTAATTGTAGCAAGCCTTTCTTTATGATTCCAAGTATATAAGTAACAAATTTGTATCGGAAGATACATTATAATTATCATAAATGAACATAAAACGAAGAGTAGAGGTGAGTGAGGTGAAAATGGAGTATCTAAAACAAAGCTGCGGTGTCACTTAATACTTTGACGGCCGCACTTTTCAGAAAAAAATTGCTCTTGCCGCCAGCATATAATGATGAAAACTACTGGCTGTCGTCGGTACTTTTTGTAAGCTTTATTACAAATTGAAGGTATTGATTCTTCATCACTGTCTGATACCTGATCGCTAACATTCGATAGATTATCAGCATACACTTCATCAATTTCACACATTTTTAAGGGTATTTTCTTTAAGTTTATATACAGTTTTTGATCTATAATATATATACTATTTATTAATATAACTATATAATGTATATATATTAACTATATAATATATATATCACACTTTTTGCAATAATCAATGCCAGTTAATAATCGCTGAAACACAATAGGGACGTAAGCCGTAAAAAATTAACTAGTCAGAGTCGATTATTTTTCTCATATTCGACTGTGATTGATTAATTTCTTATAGTTTACGATTTGCAATCCTATTGTGTAAGTTCGGATCTATAATAGGTGTTTTAAGCTTTAAACCGTAAGAAATTGACCAAATACAATTGAATGCGAGGAAAATAATTCATTGTGATTCGTCCATTCCTTGACTTAAGGTTTAAAAATCTATTGTAGATCCGGACTTACAGGCTTTAATCAACTTACGTACACGTGAACTCAGCTGATAAAGGTGCTTCTACATAATTTGCAAATCGCAAAACGTAATTGGCAAACGCAGAATTTTTGCGAATCATGTAGAACCATCTTAGTCCGAATCTACAATGTTTTAAGCCTTAAGCCGTAAGAAATTGACCAACTAGTCAAATGCGAAGAGAATAATTGATTGTGATTCGTCCATTCCTTATGTGGCTTAAAGCTTAAAAATCTATTGTAGATCCAGGATTAAATGCTGACTCAATGAACTCACGTATACGTTAAGTCGGCCGATAACCGCTGGCTCAGTGAACTCTCGCACACGTGAGTCCGGCTGTCAAAGTGTTAATTATAAACAACATGAATAGGTACCTATATACAGAGTATCAGGCATATCTGGGTTGAATAATAGACACCTGCTATTAATTTTTTCATAATTGTTCCAATGTAATATTAAAGATTTATGACGAATTATTTTTTCGTTTTTGCAAATAACATATATATATATATATATATATATATATATATATATATATATA